AATTAATTAAAAATATAAATTCTTTTAATTAAAGTTCAATTTTCTCTAACTTTATATAAGCATTTCTGAACGAATAAAAAAAATTCTAAATTATAACAATTTTAATTTTTTCGTTGTTTTAATAGATTATTTTATTGATTAATAACAAAAATTAAACAAATTATAAAAAATTAAAATTTAAAATAAAAGAATATTTATATAAATTCATTAATAAAATCTTTTCAATTACAAAATTTGAATCTCTTGAAAATTTAATTAGTTTGCGTATTGCTCAGCTGACATGCAAACTTCAACAATGGAATCTCTCAAAGATTCTTCAACAAAGGCTCAACAAAAGCGATTCGGTCAATTACTGAATCCATTTAAACCGTTTAACTGTCATCAGTGTCACGATCACGCTGATCTTCAGTTTTGTTATTTGGATCAGATTCCTCCTCTGAATAGTCCTCATCATGTGTATGTGTTACTGTGCGTGGTGTTGATGGACGCGTATGCGGCACTGTTGTTTCTGATTCAGCAAGTGCTACATCACTTGTTACTGGCGTAAAAGCACCAACTGCCCTAGCACTAGCACTAGCCAGTTCTGCATCAATAGCGCTCGTATTTTGTATGCTGTTTGTGTTTTCAATTTTTGAACGTGACCTTTGTATCATTGGTGCTTCCATTTGGAAACGTTGTTCGTGTGCCACTGTGGATTCATGTGGTAAAAGCATTGCTGGTGCGCGGAACATATAGGAAAATGGATAATAGATCAGATTGAGAAAAGTAGCTGCATATAAATCTGCATATCTGACTACTTGGCTGGAGAAGAATGTCTGACGTGAACCAGAACGGAATAATGAACCCATCATACCATAAGCCAAGTCCATTTTATGTGTCACATCACGTATGGAAGTACGTAATTTGGAAATATCTGGTTTTTCTTTGGTGCTTGAATCAAGATTTCTAAAAAATATTTATAAAAACGCAATAAATAAAAGTATATTTACTTTTAACATAAAAAAAAATAATAACTTACTTGTACATATCACCTAACATAACGTCTAACTGTTGTAGCTCTGCGAAGAATTGACATTTGTCTGTCCAAACGTGTAATTCCTGTACTAATTCTGGTACAATTAAAAATGTACGCCAACCACGTATCTTTTTCGATTTTAATATATCACCAAATATATGATCACCAATATAGAGTACATCTTTGCCTTTGGCATTTATGAACGATGTAAATACTTCACACGATCCACCTGAATAGACCTCACCCTAACATAAAAAGTAGAATTTATTACACTCTTTCAATAATTACAATATTTTTTTGCAGACCTGTTGTAATGGACCAATGTGTGTACCAATTTTTAATGCACCTGTGGTAGTATCGACCTGTCGTAATATGGTGCCTTCTCCGAAGAATAGTGGTTTACGTGCATCTACAACAATTACATCGAAATATGTCTTCCAGTTCCGATGAGGTTCTTCGGATTTTGCGCCGTGTGGAAAATCAAATAAATATGTCATTATTTTATCAGTAAAATTATAGTCGCTGTTGGTGAGTAAAAATACTTTGGCGCCTGATTCACGTATACGCGAAAGTACCATGGGTAAGCGTACATCTTTTTTGACATAGTAATCCAAATTCTGTAAAATTAAGTAAATAGTTTAATTATATATAGATTTAAAAATATATAATATATTTGGTAGTACTTCGGTAGTTTTCTTTTTTAAATCTCCTTGTAAATGCACCCAGTCTACAGCACGACGAACATCTTGGAAAATTGACTTAAAAGACATGAAAAGTTCTCCAGCATTAACACCAGTTTTCTCTCTGAAAATATGTGTATATATTATTATTAGTAATCAAACTGTGAATTAAATAAAATTGAGGATATGTTAAAAATTTTTGAAAGATAGCACATACTATTGCTTTTGTATTGCAATCGTAATAAATAGTTCTAGGGGTGATGTTATCAAGGTATACAGTGTGTTTTTTAAATTTTAGATATTATGCCAGATATAACAACTATTATTGCTATAGTAGCTTGCAGGAATCAAGAAACCAGATAACATGAAAGAAATAATATGACGAAGAGATGGATTAGTATGTGGACGTGTAATGGCTGCATGAGGTTGGTGGATATTAAAGAGCGGGGTGGATTGGGGATAGGTAAGAATTAAAGTGAAACCTGGCTAAACCGGAGTAACCTTACTACTTCAATTGTGCAGTGGGACAAGAGAACAGATGAGCGATGTCATATGGGGTAGAACAGACATTAGGAATATGCGTGTTTATGCGTGACAAGTAACTGTTAAGCTACAACAATTCTTGCTGCACGGGAGAATCGGCGTTCTGCCTGAGAAATATTAAACAGGGACTTGTTGAGAACCTTGTTGCAGAACAAACTTTGTCTCGAAGAGGACACTGCATCCGTGTGGAGGGCTATAAGCCCACGTTGATATTCAACCTTACTGATGTTAGCTTTATTTATAAAAGGTGTTGATATATCTATGATATGAAGAATCGACGGATCGATGGCTGACTTTAATCTACTGAGGGAGTAAACATACAAAATTTTATCATTGTAAAATAATAATACAAACTAATACTAGTTTGCAGTTACATCTGAATACAATTTTGCAATTGCAATATGACATTTCACCCATTTGGGTCTGTCCAAATTTCGGTAATTCTCATAGTCTATTATTATAGACCTGAGTAAAATTTTGCAATTGCAATATGACCTTTCACCCATTTGGTTCTCTCCAAATCTCGGTAACTCTCATAGTCTATTATGTTATTATAGACAATTGTCTGTTATAAAACCAACAAAAATTAATAAAATACAGTTCGAAAATATTCTTCACGCATCCTCATCATAGACTAATCGTAATATTTTATATTATTGGTTTAAGAAGGTTAGATAACAGCCGATATTTAATATGATAAGCTCAATAAATTGTTACTTTAAAAAAGTATGGTTAGAAAAAAAAAAAAAATAAATAGACAAATCTTGAAAAAATATTGTTAGAAGAAATATATTCGAAAAACAAAGAGACGATATTCAAGTACTATATATTGCATATAATTAATCATTGTCAGCTGATTACTGAATAGTACATTTTTATAGAATATGTAAATAACTACAATTTAAGTAATGTCTTACATTTGCTTTATCACTGCAATGTTATAGCTATAAAGTCAAGTCACATTAGCCATTTGGTACTTTTAGTTTCTATTAACGAGGAAGATTCAGACATTTAAATCTAACATAATCATTTTGTAGTAAACGGACGCTGTACAACTCTAAAAGAGGATAATGACACACAGTTGTCAGAAAGGCGTCGAGATACATATTTTATATTATTATTGTACTGTATTGGATGATGAAGATAGAAAGAATCAAATCAATTACTTGCACCAAATAGGAAAGGATCGAACATACTCCAACTAAGTCACCCGATGAAATTTGTTGGCGTGTTCTGGACTACTATCTACAGGGCAACCGAAAAAGAGGAATATGTAAAATAACGAATAAGGATGCTCTTGGAACGGGACGAAGCGGGCAACATAACACATTATATGATTTAGATGTTTTGCAGAGACCATATACGCCTTTAAGAACTTAAAGGAAATGATAAAGATTGATACAAAGTCAAATCAATGAATGAACATATATTGATATATTATATATGTCTACCAAATCTCAAAATTGAACTGTAAAAGTAGATTTGGGAGTTTTATAGGAATGGTGATAATCTTATCATGAGTTTTTAAATTTCACACATATTTTAATTACTAATTACTGAATAGTACATTTTTATAGCATGTGTAAATAACTATAATTAAAGTAATGTCTTTTGAGACCAATCACATATAATTTAAAGTATATGAATATACATAGTTGTGTTAATTGATACAGTGTTGATACTATACAGTATCCATATATATATTCTAAATACTGTATAGATGAGCATGTAGAAGCCCCCCAAAAAATATTTTAGTTAATTAAGTTTTTTATAATTAAAAATGTATTAAAAGCTTAATATTAATGAAGTGTAAACCCTTCATAGCAGAGAAATGAATTTGGAATAAAATTTTGAAATTCATTACAAAGTTAATTAAATCGTCATTTTTTTCGCATCAATAACTTAAGGACATTTATTTTTGTGTCCTTATGTGAATGACATAAACTTCATATGAGCATCTTTGATAAATTTTTATTAAATGTTATGTGCATGTAAGTACATAATTATATCCTAACATGTATGTATGTATATTTCGTATGTTACTCGTATAAATTAAATTAAATTTTAGCTTCAAGAGTTTTGCACAAAAATTAATGGGCTTCACAGTGAAACTAGAAACTTTGGCTTCGGAAGGAAAGAGAGGCAATTTTAGAAATGAAAACACTTTGAAGTGCTCGAAAGCAGTTCATTGTTCTTAGACCAAAATCACTGTTTTTAATCAGCACTTTTAGTGAGTGAAGTGAAGTGTTTTCAAGCTGCCGATGGCAATTTGCCCATTTTGCTGCTCCTTCCTTTTAGATGATAACGACGATGATAAAAGCAGTTGACACCTTGCGCCAGAGTGGAATTGCTGAAAGGGATTATCTGGTGTAGGGAGTTACAAGTTACAAGTGTTACCTTTCAAATGTTGAAATTGAATTAAAAAAGTCAAAGGAATCAAAGGAATTTAAAAAAATTGCAAGAATTTTATTTTTTAGTAATGAACAGAATAGCTTATTGTGCACTTTCAGACAGACAGAGTAGACAGAGAGTTCTTATGCCAAATATTTATTGGGAGGAATATAATGCAGCATATTTTGAATTTTCAGCAAAAATATGGGACAGATAAAGATTTGTCAAAGAGAACTTAATAAAGTGGTAGATTTTAAAGTTTAGAAATAATTTAAAATTCATATAACACAAAAAGGAAAATAAGCGAAACTGTTTTGATTTAGTAGACATTCTAATTTGCATTTCTGCATTTAAGGTTATGTCGAAGATAAAAATGAAGTAACAAATTTTAAAATTTTAGAAGTTTTCATATAGAAAAGAATTATAAGTAGAACTCGAATTCAAAAAATACTAAAGCTAACGCTAATATATATTTTACGCTAATGTATTTACCAAAACAAAACAAATGCCAAGTTTATACAACGCCCGAACAGACTTTAAACTCTCAGAGTAATAATTTCTTGTTATATAGCTATGAATAGAATGGGATTCCAAATAGTACTGGAGGTTATATGGAGATAAACGTTAATATTGTAGAATAAAAAGAACGATTTGTATATGAAGATACAATAGTCTAACAATGGAGACAGTGTTAAAGGTAACTAATGTTCAAGCCCGTAGAGATTTATATAAAAGAGTAGTAGTATATATGTAGAACTGTAGACATTAAAATAGAGTAGAAAATTCCAGAAGGAAGCGAATCAGCGACTCTATATCATAAGCTCACTCGTCTTCGAGAGACATGTAATGCTTATCACGTCCATTACAGGTCCAAAGTTCAAAAGAAAAGCAAATCACTTACGTTATCTCAACAAAGGCGAAACTGCTCGTTACAATAATTAGAATATATAGTACATATATAAGGCATTTTCGATTGCTAAATCAAGATTCAATTTAGGTTTAATCTCGATCTGTCAAATTTTACTTACGTCGATTGACGTAAATCTGAAGTTCGAAAGAATTACTGCAGTAGAGATAATTAGTAGAGGTAATCACGCCAATAGAAAATCAAAATAATTTATTTAGGTCTTAATATGGAAGTATAACTGATAGTTAAGAACTGTATAATAATAGATCGAAATATAAAATACTAAACATCTGATAGAAGTAGTAAGTAGTAATAGATTAGTAACATCACACTAAGCATGTAACACCTAGAATAACATATGCCATATCTATTATATAGCCGTTTGACACCGTTTTATAAAACATATAAAAGAGATGAAGATAGTTGAACAATAAAGTACAAGGCTCAAGATGTACAATAACACTATAATAGAAAAATAATGTATGCATATCTTCATGAAACCATACTAAAGTCCTGTTATACAATTTACACTTAAGCTAAGTAAAACTTAAGGGTTTGAATTTTAATACTATGGTATCACACAAAACTCATGTCAATTTGACTTTAATCGGCAATAAAGTGTGCACTATTAAGGTGGTTGGTTGATTCGTTGCAGTGGCAGGCCATTAGATAACTTCCATGTACCTCAATTAGCGATTTTTCGCCGTTTTGCTACCACATTCCTTGCAAGAACCCTAGTGTATAAGAGTAGAGACTAAATCCATCCCGCCGAATTTAAGTAATTTAATCTTTCATCTTCACCACTGAGCAGTCTGATAGACTATCAAAGAAGTATTTTCCTAAGAACCTATATCTTCTGGACGCTAAAACCGGGCATTCACAGAGAAAATGTATTATTGTTTCTTTCTTCTGCGGGTTTTCACTATAAAGGTATATAAAGGTAGATTTATAAAAGGCACTATAAAGGTAGATTTAAAAATTTTGTTGTAATACTGACCTAACTATTATATCTACCCATACTCAAGAAATTAGCCTATTGAAGTGGCAGACTTCTTGCTTTATCTCTGCAATGTTGTACCTATAAAGTCAAGTCAAGTCACATTAGCCATTTGGTACTCTTAGTTTCCATTGACGACAATGAAAATTCTGATATTTTAATCTAATGATTTAAGATGTTTAAAAGCTAGGTAAGCTAGTTAAACACTGATTTAATTCTTCGAAAACCTAGAGCATTTGTTGGCATATGTTTTTAACGTGTCCTTAAAATTTGATAGCCAAACACA